GAAAAAAAAAAAAAAAAAAAAAAAAAAATAAATAAAACAAAAAAGAAGAAAAAGAAAGAAAGATGCAGAATCTCTTATCAGGAACATTATTATAATAATTAAATACTATTAATGAACTAATAATAATAACAATAGATCGTTAAATGATTGTCACCGAAAGACACCAAGGTCCGTATAATTAAATAATAAAGTATACGTTTAATTAAGGTAGTAGTACATAATTAATAAAATCAGCACAAGAGAGAGAGAGAGAGAAAGAGAGAGAGAGAGAGAGAGAGAGAGAAATAAATAGTATGATGATAAAGATAATGGTAATGATTATAATATCGTATTTCAACGATAAGATGAAACAAGTCCTTAAATCGCGACAAAAGAAAAAACAGAAAGAAAGAAAGAAAAGTAAAGAAAAAAAAAAAGAATATTTACTATTAGAACGAGTATACTTGGACATTGTGATATTTACGAAGTCTGTCGTCGACTTCCCTATTCCCTCTTCATCCCTCAATTTTCTTTACCTCAATACTACCCTTAGCCTCAATTCCTTAAACCTCCTTCCTCCCCACCACAATTCCCTTTGAAAAATTTCCTATCATTGTTTTTTTTCTTTCAGACAATTGAGCGACTCTACTCTGACATTAAAAAAAAAAAAACGAGATTTATTATCTCCGTCATTGCGAAAAATAACGTAATTGAATTAATTAAAAAGAAAAAAGAAAGATAACCTATCGAACGAGACGACGACGATTATTCTAGTTACGAATTTACGATGTAGAATTGATCTTAGGTGAATAAACAAAAAAAAAAATTAAACTATTATTATAAATAACATGATGAAATCTAAATAATAAATAGGCAAGTTGTCGGTGTATTATTAATACGAAATGTATACGATTTTTAATGTACAAAACTAAAACACGGGAGAAGAGTAAAAAAAAAGAAAAAAGGAAAAAAGAAAAAGGGAAATGAAAAAGAAAAAAAACTAATAATGATAATTATTATTATTATAGCGTGCTAACGAGTGTAAGATAATTTGTCTTCTGTCTTTCGATCATTTTGTTTCCTCGTCTTACATTCAAACGCGAAAAAAAATAAATTTCAACGCGCTTAACAATACTATCATCATTGTCACAACCACCCCTACCCTATCCAATCCACATTTACCCTCATTCCCAAAAATATTATATCAGACGATTATTGTTCATATTTGATGAAAGATATGAGTACTTTTGGTTTCTTTTTAAATTTATATAAATTTATATTTTGTCTTTTCTTCTCGTATTTGAAATGTTCAAATTGCATCGAAAAGTTAAGTTCGAATTGGAATAGTTCAATTTTAATTTTGCTTGATCATGATCGCGATTGTTCGTTGATATAAATAAGAAAAAGATTAAAAAATGAAATTATTCATGAAATGAGATTTTTTTAATCACTTAATCAATTAATCGCAAGCGTTGATTATTCCTTGATCATGCATATACTTATAACTGTTATTTGTAAATTGATCTATATATATATGCTATTTAATTTATTTGATAAACATACGTGCATAAATCGATGAACGGTGAGATACGAATAAAAATGAGAGAAAGTGAACGAATGTGTTGTAAGTATGTACGTGTGTATCTGTGTATGTTTGTGTATGTACGTTTGTAAATGCGTGAGAGATGGAAGAGGCATAATTTACGTTATCCCGCACAATTTGGCACTTATAAATATATTGCAGTAAAATGAAACATTTTGTTCAAACATGCTTCTAATCATGCGAATGTGTTACTTTAAAAAATACTAAAATATATTTAAAAATATATCTTTCGCATTTGTTCCATTTTTAGGAGCCCAATCGAGAGTCATGGAATAAATAAAATAAAAATGAAAGCATTTGCGTGGGTGAAAAGTTTCTAGGTGGGTCAAGGATTCCTGGATTATTTTCAAAATCAATGACTTATTTTTTTCTCAAAACATTTAAGGAAATTTTGCGAGTTAGGCTTGTTTCACGATGTGAAAGAAAAACAAAATTAGTTTAAAAAGTTTCAAGACGAAGTAATTGATTTTTAAAATCATTTAAGAATTTTTGATTCACCCCGTACTTTATAGAAAGAAATGTCTGAATAAAAAGAAGATGATGTTGATGACGATTAAACAAACAATGGAAAACCAACACAAAAAAGAAAAATTAAAAACAAAAAAAAAAATTATGGACTGACTTCGTCGCACTTTTGTCACACAGATCCCATTTATCGTCTTTTAGTGATAAATAGATGAACTTTAATTTTCATCGTTATATACATAGTTGTGTATAGAGGTCTCAACTAAATGTGTAAAAATAAATCATTAAGAAAGTATAAACAAATATCGAAGTCTCTTGCCGCTCACAAAATACGTCGAAGAAATTATTTCGTTTTTTTTCAATTAGTGTATATCAATAATAATGATAATAAAAAGAAATAAAAGAAATATATACACATAAATTTTATTGAAAATATATTATATTTGAATAGGCGCACACAGATAAAGATATAGTAATGCTACTCGTGGAATTAATAATATGCGTTGCATAGATATATACTTTATATAATATTATCATTAATATAATATTATTAATGAATAATATATACCAGGGCTTCTCAAGGTCAAGGCTTCCCAAATGGAATCGTAGAAATTAGAACAAGACTAAAAAATGTCTGAACGCACAATTACCAAAAATTAATTCTAAACCAGTTTAACTGAACTACATATATAATATATTTATTAGTTTATGATAGTAAAAAAGAAGATAGTATAGAATCTATACCCAGGGTTGTGAAAATATTTGCTCAGGTAAAGGGGGTCGCCAAGTATAAAAGTTTGAAAAGCCTTGATATATATTATACTAAATAATATTAATAATATTAGTAATACAATATTATATGAAATATATATAATATAATATATATTATATATATATTATATTGAAGAAGGAAACACGTAAATAATCATAAGGGATTTTAATTTATTGTGTATTTCAGACAGGTAATAGACGCAAAGATAAGAGATATCAATTATTAATCAGGTACTATATGCGTGTAGAAAAAGATCATTCATTTTCAACGAGATTCCAATGGAAAGTATTTTTTCATTTTTTTTTTTCTTTTCTTTTCAGGAAGTTACTTATCGTTACTGTATTTTTTTATTTTTAGGTGTTTTTTCTTTTATATTTTTGTTTTTTTTTTTTTAATAATAGAGTCCAATAGACTATATAGATAGATCATTAGGAACAATTATAGAGAGGTTGTGAAAGCACGGTTAACCGTTATAATGCAGTCATCGTTTAGTAAGTAGCTGATAGTTTTAAAGCCAATTACTTATATCGATACTCTCGTTTGTGTATATGTGTGTATGTGTGCGATTAGCTATACTTAAATAAGCAGTCATCAAAAACAACAATAGAGATATTCGATTACTATTATCGTCATTGGTATGATTTATACGATATGTCTCTGTATAATACTGTATAATACTGTATAATATATCATTCTGTGTGTATGTGTGTGTATACATGTGACATAGACTTTTTTAAATTGTTAATACTTAACAGTTATTAATCAACGATTTGAATTTAAAATTTTTTTTTCAACTTTTTGTTTCTAAGAAAATTCAAATCCTTAATTGTTTGTAAAAAGTTGGATACAGCAGAGTCGTTAAAACAGCGATAAAAATAGAAAAAATAATTTATGCGAATATCGAATACGATTTCGTGTGAACACGTTTTAAGTTCTTATAATATTTTATCATCGAAATTAGTACTATTATTTTTAGATTAAAAAATGCGATTAAAATGCAATCTTGTATTACATGTTTTGTTTCAACTTCTTGCTTTGAAACGTTTT